ACAGACACCTAGTCAAATAAAAAAGCAAAGTAAGAAAAAAAAAAACAAATGCAACACTAAAAGGGTACCGTTTGTTCTGGTTTAAATACTTTTGAATAAAAGCAGATTGTTCTGTGTTATTATTAGAAAGAATAGTTAATAAAGATTATTTATCTAGGAAAGATGGATTGCAGGAAACTTAATATCATATTTCTAACTTCATTTAGACTAGTATTATTGTAAATTTCTAGTATGATGTCCAGAACTATTTTTCTCTAGGAGTGCAGGACACTCAACCAATATATTTTCTTCCAATTTCTCTAAAAATAAAAATAAATACACAACAATTATAAAGTAATAAAAAAAAAACCATACCAGTCTTTCTGTGAGGTAATAATTCTTCAAAAATATATTTTATAGATCCATTTTAGATAAAATTTTGGAGAGTTGATCTTCCCTTAGTCATTTAGAAATATATCTATAAATTAATATGTAGGATTAAAATGATGAAAATTAAAAATCATGTTCACTAATCATAAACTCGTATTTATAGTTAAAATATGATTATAATGAAATGTTGATTGGCTGACATTTTAAGGGAAAATTACATTAAATCTAATTACATCTATTTTGATTAATAAGTTATATAAACACACCAATCATACAATTTTCTACTTATCATTTATTTATCAAAGACATTTTAAAAAAATGTAATCTTAGAGACCGCATAAACAATACTGAGCACTTTAATCTATCTGTACTGGCAGTAATTTTGGCAAAACTTCTCGAATCGAAAAGTAAAGCAATTATGATTTGAAACTCATCAAGTTAGACTCACATAAGAAAAACACCTTAATATCTGCAACCGTATGTAGAAAAAAGTCTGGAAAACCAAGTAAGACAGACGGACTGACAGGCAAAGGGAATGATGGACAAACAGACGGACAAAAATCTTTTTGTTCCCTCCAGTTTCAGGGGTCTACTATAAGTAAATACTAAGTATAATCTTTTGTCACGTTATGAATAATATTGTCTTTTCTTTAAATGATTAAAAGATCGAAATGGTTAAAAAAAATGTGTGAAATGCATGAAATGCCAGGGATTCAACCCATCTACATTTTTAAAGAGATGCTACATGGACATATTATGTATACAATAAACAATTCATGAAAAAACTACAAAAAGACTTAATAGTGCTTAAGTATAAGATTATGCGGAAAACGCTTGTCAAGATATATTTTGCATTTATTAGACCTGTTTTTGAATTTTTGACGTTGACAATTACTCTGAAAAAGACTCCAAACTTTTAGAAGATTTTCAAATTGAAACAGGTAGAATTATCACTGTATTAAGATGTATCTCTTCCCGTTCAAAATTGTATGATGAATTAGGGTGGGAGATTTTACAAACAAGGAGGAACGTTCATAAATTGATATTATTTCATAAAATTATAAATGACCATTCACCTCAATATTTGTTTGATTTGATTGAACCTTATCGTCCATCAAATCACTCCTATAACCTCAGAACCAATGATGAACAATTCAAATTCCTCACATTAGAACTACATCGTACCAGGAAAGTTTCCTTCCATCAACAGTTAAACTGTGGAATAACTTGCCAGATTATATTAGAAATGCTTCTGGAATATCTTCATTCAAAAGTCTTTTGAATTCTTATTTTTGTAAAAAAAAAAAAATGTAATGAACTCATTTTGGAGTAAGAAAATACAATATAATACACTGTCAATTAAAGAATAATGCAAGTAATTTGATGGCAGACTTATATAAGCGATGTTTATCAGAAACGCCAGTGTGTGGACACTATTGATTCTGTTGAAGATGCTTACCATTACTTTTTTGTTTTCAAAAAATACATCTTCTAGAATGTATTTTCCAAATAATCCAAAATATTATTGATTGTGGTCAGATCTCTGAACTTGAATTATTATTTCATGGTAGTCCTAATCATGGACTGCATATTAAGTTTCAAATCTTTGAAGCAGTACATGCCTATACAGCAGCACAACAACAAAACGTTTATTTGAACACTGTCCTGTATGTAACATTTGTCAATATTTCCAAACCGATTCTTCATTGTATTTTTTCTTTCTTCTTTCTTGCTTCTATTTTACAATGTTTTTTAATAAATATATAGAGATAACGAACAGTATTCAAGCTCAAAAGCCCATTAAACAATACAAATCAGGAGCAGAGCAAACACGGACCTCCAAACATCAGAGGTGGGATCAGGTGCCATAGAGGAGTGAGCATCCCCTGCCGACCGGTCACAACCGCCATGTGCTCCTTGTCATGATCGGGAAATAACGGGAAAATCCGTCGACAATTCAGTGTGTAAATAATGGTCTAACAATTAGTATGAAAAACGTCAGTCAGCATTTGACTCAATGATAAATTGTATTTGCTGACAAGGTCATTGTATCGACCATAGAACTTACGAAATGATGACTTTAAACGATACAGCTGATATTCTTGTTTCATCAACTTGTTTGTCAATAATTTACCTCGTTTTAGAAATTGGGAGTGGGCTAAAATATGCTTTGCCTTCTGCCCAATCCCATTAACTTTGTAAATAAAATCATGTATAAATCAATGCAATGACATGCTAGAACAATTCTTTACATATCCATTTTTCCTTGCATTTAAATGGATGATCATCAAGGCAGCTGGTAAAACAAATCATTGTTTTCTTGACATTTTAGTTTCTCGATCGATAACTTTTGATTTGATTTAGCTACTGGATTATGGATGTAATTTCAAAGAAAACAGAATAAATTTGATTGTGCGGTACAGAAATAATTTCATTATTCCATCAATCAACATAGTATTTTTTATTCAGGCTCTTTTTCTCATGAAAGGTATATATTGGGAACACCTTTATAATGTAACTTTATGAATAGCCATGAATCATTGTCATAATTGACAAATTCTATTTGTTTTTTTCAGTTCCTTCCGTGATTGCTGTATACTCTTGGACCAAAGAACGCTCATTGAGAACAGAATTGTTTGTTACCAACTCCTACGAAAAAGAATCCAGACCAACACCCTCAGTAGATATAGATTGTAACATCAAACTTCTCTCACTCAACGATCTGGTAAGGTTTCGTGAACTAATAAACAATACATTCATTAATAACATCGTCTTCCTACTCTTGAGAATATTTAGAGTACCTTGATATGCTAAGTCTGTTAGTTTTCCATTTCAGCAACGTTTATTTTTCATATTTTATGAGTTTAAAATCATAACCATATAAGACAGAAAGTTTGCAATTTTTTTTACGTTTGATACGGTTTGGTACATGATCAAATCATTCGAACACGTGATTATCTTGTATTTAAATCCTGAACAACACTTTATATCTCATATGTGCCTTTCCATGTTTACCCTTTATATAAAACATCATTGTATAATTCAAAATTTCTTTTCATATACTAATTGTTGAAAGATTGTATATCATAGAAATTCTTCAATCATATTTAGAATGCGTTTAATGAATATACTATATAGTCTGTCCCACGGTATCATCCTCATTATTTTTAGCACTGTATTTCAAAATACATTTGTACATAAATACATGGCATTTCGTACATGGTTATTATCAATAGATTATTTCTTTTAAACTTTTAACATTCCTGTCAACGAAAGGGAGTTTGATCTACCCTATCTATACTGGATTCCTAAGCTTTATAAAAATCCTTACAAAGATACATTGCCCTGTCCAGCAACTGTTCTACCATACCCCTTTCTCTACTCCTCGTAAAATATTAACTTTTGTAAAAGAGAAACTTTAGACGTACTCTGCTGCAGCATACATATTTGAGCTACAACATGCATATTTGAGAAAATATGGATTCTCAAAAATTCCAAAGGACTTTAATAAGATTTAAAATCAGAAAATATTTTTAAAAGTCAATAACATTTTCTACAATTTACACCATCATTTCTCACGAAAAATAATGAACAACTAGGCCTTTTAATATAAGCACAACAGATTCTATAGAAGTGGAACTCGGAAATCTTCATAACTTGTGATTGGTCACGTACAAAATTACTTTGTAAAAAAAAAAAAGACTGATACTACACATAAGTACTCTGACGCTGATATTGAGAAGATGTTGGAGTTCCTCTCTGACAATAATCTACGTAGTCTTTGGGGACCAGGTCTTCCAACAATAAGAACTAATTGTGCTCCTTTATTAACCGTCCTGTTTTTATATTCCTATAAAACAGTATTACAAAAAATTCTTCACGAGAAGAAAAAACTTACTGTGGCCTTCAACTCGACATTTAGATATACTGACGACGTTTTATCAATTGACAATACTTACTTTCATTCATTTGTCGACTCGATATATCCCAGTGACGTCGAAATAAAAGACACTACAAAGTCTGCCACATCTGTTTCATATATGGATGTTTTACTGAATATAGACGATAAGGAGCAACTAACAACTAAATTGTATGACAAACGAGATGACTTCAGTTTTTCTATCGTCAATACCTTATTTATGTAATAATATTCCACCTTCACCTGCATATGGTGTTTATGTCTCCCAACTTACTCAGTAATCAAGAGCATGTTCTGAGTAAGATTAATTTTTAAACCGAGGTAATCTAATGATAAATAAGTTGATGTTGCAGGGATTTCAGCAACCTCGTTCAAGTCAAGTTCAGCATTTCTTAAATTCTATAAATTCTATAGTCGTTATAATGACTTTGTTTGCAAATACAACCTGTCATTGGGTCTTAGTTTGACAAATCCTTGCCTCCTTGACAGCAATGGCAGAAATTTGCATTGTAAAAAATTACATTAAAATCATTTCATACTTGTTTGTTTCAATTTTTTTAATCCAAACTGGCTAATACTGGTTTGGAAATTATTAAACTTAAATGTGAAAACAAGTCAAATGTATTTGTTCTCGTTTATAATTTGGTGAAGGCAGTCCTATGAGACAGACTAAGTAGATGACTACATATCATATTTTGACATTTTTTCAGAACATAAAAGAACAAACCATGTCATCAGTAGCATATTTCTCCTTTGTAAGTATAATTTATTTTATAGCGCATATACTAATAATTAAATGGATATATACTTTTATATTTGACTATTACGCTTTTGTTTTGTCAATACATGTATTCACTACGTGTTTTAAAGCATATTATCTACAAAGCTAAAATAAGATTGATTGATTGTATGTTGTTTTACGTCCCATTCGAGAATTTTTCACTCATATAGAGACGTCACCATATACCGGTGAAGGTCTTCAAATTTTGACCTTTACTCAGCACTCAGGGCCATTGAGCAGTGAGGGATCTTTATCGTGTCAACGCCTGCTCTGACCCACAACTTTCACTTCAAAGTGCCGAGCGCATGGCGAAGGAACAGTTGCTACCCATTTTTTATCGACTTAGGTCGACTTAGGTCAGTCGCGGCCGAGATTCGAACTCACGACCTCCAGATCACGAAGCGAGCGCTCTACAGCTAAAATAAGGAATAGAATAATAATATTTATAACTCTTGCTCTTTTCAGACATGGACAGATTCCCGCCTGAGTTGGGATACCAATCCAGTATATAGCAGCGACATCAGCGCCATCTACAGCACAGAGAGCAAAATCTTCACACCACCAATAGTGGTCGAAAATTCGTAGGTTCATTTATAGCTATTACAGTTTGAATCACATTTCATGCATTAACATTCAAGTCAATAGGCTTGAATTACAGAACCTATACTGGATTCCAAAACTTTATAACAAATTCTTAGGATTTATGAAATTGATCACTCCTCCTTATCTTTACCTGTAACATTACAAAGTAATAAACAGACCAATGTTGATTCTTTAGCGTTTGTTACTTTAATATATCTATCTTATCTTAATTGTTGAAAACAAATGCAACTTCAGCAAACTTGTTACATATACATGGCATAATCTTTAAATCATTTAGTTGCCTTTAAGAGAATATTTCCTGTAACTTTGAATGTATTTCGATAGAGATAAATACTTAGTAGGCAAGTGTACATTTTTCCAAGCTAAAGTTTTGGTCATGGATTGGCAAATGTATTTATTCTAACAATGTTTCCCATTACAGAGTCAGTAATTTAGGATTGATTAGTGATCTGACTTTACCAATAAAGATCCATCAGACTGGAAAAATTACGTGGTCTCCTGGTGACATTTATGAAACGTCATGTGACATTGACACTTCGTTTTACCCATTTGACGAGCAGACTTGTGTTATAACCTTAACAACTCGAGGTTATTCCAAGTATCAATTAAGTCTTACTTTGGACATGGTCCCCATCGTGTTAACTGCTTACCAAGAAAACGGAGAGTGGACTTTGGTATCAGTAGACTCGACAACATCCAAAACATTTCGTGACCTGGTCCCTTACTCACAGATCAACTTCAGTTTTACTTTTAAGCGTCGTAATGCCTTTCATCTAATGAACACGATCATTCCTATGTTTTTACTGGTTGGTATGACATGTTTTGTATTCAAGATCCCAGTGGACGCCGGAGAGAAGTTGGGTTACTCTCTAACTGTTTTGTTGGCTTTTGCTGTGTATTTAACGATGGTGGCTGATAATATTCCAACAACATCTACAAACATCTCATACCTTGGTATGTACATTTTAAATTCTTTAAATACTAATGTACTTCAGATGATTGATTTTAGTATTCTCTTTTTATGTTACTTTTCTTTTCAGCTGCGTACTTGAACGTGATGCTCGCCCTTGGTGTCTCGGCTGTACTCTTTGCGATTTACGTCATAAACATCCATTTAAAACCAGAAGAAGAAGCCATTCCCGGGTATCTTCGATCCATTGCAAAACTTTCGTCAAAAGTCTGTTGCTTGAAAGAAATTGGTTGCTGCTGTAAGAAAGACAAAACAAAGGTCACTGTCATTGCTGATACAGAAAACGAAAATATGAGCAAAGTGAGCAAGGGATACGAGGAAAACGAACAATCATTCACATGGCAGGAAATAGCAAAGATAATGGATATGCTTCTATTTCGTATTTATTTATTTCTGTTTATATTTATGACCCTTGCTTTCGTAATTATCATGACCATCGGATCTTTGATATGATATATAGTCACTTCAATATCACCATTGCTAAGTGTACCAAAGATTCTTGGTTTCATATTTATGTCAATATTTTTTTTATTTTTTGCGTGTACCAAAAATTTCCTATTTCATATGTTTAAAAATCATTTAAGAAAGCTGAAATTATCTTGTCTGATAATAAAATTGTTCAGTTGATTGACTAGAAATATACGAATTTCCTGATTCATTTTGAATGATAATCATAATTAAAGTTTACACCCATCAAATTGGGAAGCGGATAATTTCGTATGTATACAAATGTTCTATCAATGTAAATTTAGAACTCCTTTTTACCTGTGAAATAAATAAAAAGTGTGCTATATTTGAGGATTGAATTAATTTTTCTGTTTAAAAAAAAAACCAATTTAAAACCTTCAATATTGTTTAAATATTTTTATGTGTTTAGTATGTGTTGTTAGTTGGTTTCCTTGCAATCAGCACATTTACAGAGATTGGGAAGGTAATCATGATTATTTTGATATTAGTAAAGGGAATGGAGTCATGGATGTAAATACTTGTACGTTTGAGTTCATGAAATATAAAAAAAAACTGAGTACTGTTTTTCAAATAAAAAAAAAACTTCTCTTAATATATTTAAAGGCAAAGATTTGATTTAGCTAACAACAAGGATTCTAATTGAAATTGAAGGAAAGGAAATGCATGCAGTTCTAATACCTTCCATAGAAAAGCACATAAATACTAAAAAATATCAAGCAAATGAAAAATGATTCAACCTCAAACATACATTTAAAATGGAATGTATTCAAACACACTACACCGTCACGGTAGCTCAGTCGGTAGAGCGCTCGCTCCATGATCGGAAGTTAGTGTTTTCGAATCATGGCCTCGACTGACCTAAGTCGATAAAATAATAGGTAGCAACTGTTCCTTCGCCAGGCGTTCGGCACTTTGAAGTGAAAGTTGCGGATCCTTCGAATGAGTCTTTAAAACTCGAGGCCCCATGTCACGGTAGTCGTTGGCACGATAAAGAACCTTAAATGGCCCTGAGTGCCGAGTAAAGGTCTAAATTTGAAGCCCTTATGTGGTATATCGTGTCGTCCCTTATGAGTGGAAAATTCTCGAACAACATAAACAACACAACATAAAATCAATCAAACAATCAAACACACTATGAAAAAATAATAATGTTCAGCAGCGTTTATCTAAGTCCAGTCTCGTCAAGGAAGTCCATTTTTTCCCATTGTTTAGTCATATTTAGAGGTCATCAGATGAGGAACAAAACACTCTTATTAGCAAATTCCTGCAGGATTAAATCTCTCCTCTGATTACATACATGTTCTAATTTTTGGTATTTTGGAAGTTTACATTAACAACTCCTCCTGTAAATATGTTTCTACATTCCAGAATATTTCATTTGACGACAATTCACTACTAGTAATCGATTGTTTAAGAAGCAGGCTCAATTTGAAGCTACAAAGAGTTTAAAGCATTTTTTCCCTATTGAATAATGCTGACCCGAGTTGTTGTTTTTTTTTATCCTGTATTATCTTTAGGTTATCACCAGCATACTCCTCCGACATAGAGAGTATACTGTATTATTCACACCTCCTTTATTGGTGAAAAATCTTAAGTAAACTAATATTATGTTCCATTAAATGGTCAAAGCTGTTAAAGTATGCTTAAAAGTTGGTTTTTATATGATACCCTTACAATTGTAGGTTTTTGTTTGTTTATTTCTAAATTTTGGACTTTGTGATTGAATTTCTTACAACTTTTTCGTATAATGTCAGCAATCAATAAAAAAGTAACAAAAGATAAAAATCATTATTATTACAGACATGAAAGCTTTTTGTTGTTAATCGAGCAGACTAGTCAAGTGAGCTTCTATGAGACTATAGGAGCCATTTTCTTTGAAACAATTTGTGAAATGTTAATTACTATTATACTACTAACACCATGTCGTTAACCTGACTGTCCTGTAATTGAATTATTATAAATTATTGTTAATTAATTGTATTATATAATTCACCGTTGAGCTCTGTGAATAGGTATGTCTATCTTTTGCAGTTATCATTGCAGTTAATTTATTGTAGAAATTTTTCAATATGACAGTAACCAACCTTGACCCAAATTTCAGGAAGATTTTAAGTAAAGCAAATTAGAGAGAAGTGTTCAAAATCAGGCAGACTTTGTATTCCTAAGATAAACGACTTTAACCCCCTTTTCCCCCTTTCCCTAAATTTTTTAACATTTTTAAAAACCGTAAGAGATGAATTTAAAATTTGACATTGAGATTTAAAAATAGGTTGGAAAAAATGTTTGATGACTGTTATGATAACTTAAAAAAAATTATGATCAGTATAGCATTTAAGTGTCTTTTATTATACCTCATATAAATAATCATTAGTGAAATAGAATCTGATTGGCCGAGACGGTCATGTGACCGTCGTGTTTGCCCTGCAACAAACTTCGTGTTTCACGATTGTGACGTCACAATGCGGCTACTGAGATGAATACTACTGTTTATATCGTTGATTGATTGTGTTGATTCAAACATGTAAAATATTAATATTTGGAATAAAAAATTTCATGTGTGTGGTTTTAATGTTACTGGTGTGTAAATTACACTGACTTGTCACGAAGGAATGTTTTTATGAAGCACGACTATTGGTGTAACTTACATCTGTTTCATATTGTTCAATGTTTACTTTATTCATAGGATTTTCTGTATATTTCCTGCATTGTGCTTGATTCGGTATAATAAACAATTTATTGCGTGATAGTGAGGGAGACATGAAGATTTCTTCACCCATGAAAAATCATATTCCTCTCGAGCGTTGCCCTCGGGGAATATGATTTTTCATGGGCGAAGAAATCTTCATGTCTCCCTCACTATCATGCAATAAATGTATAAAATGGCATGGGAATACTGTAACATATTTACAAAATATCGGTGGTCATTAACTCGATCTGTTACATTACTATTCTATAGACAGAAGATACGCTGTGAAAACAGCTTTATGGGAGATCATTTGTCAACTTTCCTTATATATGTAGTATTATTATACCTCATATAAATAATCGCTAGTTAAATAGAATCTGATTGGCCGAGACAGTCACGTGACAATCGTGTTTGCCTGCAACAAAACTTCGTGTTTCACGATTGTGACGTCACAATGCGGCGACTGAGATGGTAACTACTGTGTTAGAATGATTATGTCGTTGATTGATAGTGTCGATTCAAATTTTGTAAAATATAAATATTTAGAAAAGTGTTTTCATGGGTTGGGTTTGAATGTTAATTATAGTGTGTAAATCACACTGACTTGTCACGAATCACGAAGGAATGTATTTTTATGAAGCGCGACTAGTGGTGTAACTTACAGCTGTTTCATATTGTTCTTATCAAATGTTTCCTTTATTCATTGGAGTTTCTTTATATTTCCTGCATTGTGCTTGATTCGGTATAATAAACAATTTATTGCATGAATGTTCGGGAGACATGAAGATTTCTTCGCCCATGAAAAATCATATTCCCCTCGGGCGTTGACCTCGGGGAATATGATTTTTCATGGGCGAAGAAATCTTCATGTCTCCCTCACTATCATGCAATAAATGTATAATATTCCACTGTCACCAGCTTATGGTGTTTATGTCTCCCAACTTATTTGCTGCTCCCGAGCTTGCTCTAAGTATGATCAATGTTTAAAGCAAGGCAGGCTACTCACTGATAAGTTGATATTACAGGGATTTCAACAGCCTCATTTAAAGTCTGCATTTCGTAAATTTTATGGTCGTTATAATGACTTTGTTAGCAAATATAACCTATTAATGGCTCGTATTTTGGCTGACCTGTTTCAAACCAATAGTTAGGCCTTTGTTTTTGTACTGAATTGACGACGGATAGTTCCGTCTACCTGATCAATACATAGGGCTCACGGCGGGTGTGACCTGTCAACAGGGGATGCTTACTCTTCCTGGGCACCTGATCCCACATCAGGAATTTCCAGGGGTCCGAGTTTCATGCCCTCTTCACATCCTTGTATTGTTTGTGGATTTTTTGAGATCGATCACTGTTCGCTATCTTTACCTTTTGCATTATTACATTTCCTCTCTAATTAACAACAGAAAGATGATTTAATGATAGTGAATAAAAAAAGAAAGGCAATTGGAATTTCTGTTTTAAAAAGCTTCCGAAATTGGCTACTATTTCACCCAAGTCATCCTTGCAAAGAACAAACCCTATTTTTTTTAATATATAAAATGCCTTTTTAGTAAACTTCTGCTGATTTTTTAGGGTTACTTTATAAATTAGGGTCGATTGAGAAATCGGAAACAAACATATTTTTCTAGACCTTACTAAACTTTTGCTTGTCATAATTTTAGATGACATATTTCTATGAAAATGGCTCATGTAAAAGATATCTGTATAACCATTAATATGCAATAATTATTAATTTCTTGCCTTTTAAAAGTTTCTTTGGCATGTATTTTCTGCTGATGCTGGGAACTGCTGTTATTTCCGTACTTCTGACTACACGTTATAGATATAGTCTCTGCTCCTGCGGGAAGCAGAAATTCCAAAGTATCCGCATTAAACAACAAAAATTATTTACAAAATAGCAACAGAAACTGCTGTAGGGGAGGTAATTCTTCCGTAAATGTTATCAATTTTCAAAGAATGTTGAACGTCTACGGTTACATGGATAATAATGGCAGAGGATCTGTAATAGAAGATAGCAAAGATTTAGGACAATTTCCTGCTGTGGGTTTACTTAATTAGTCAAAGAGTTGCCTGCAATGCTCATGTGTGTCATGTCTTTTTGTTCAGAGGAATAGAATGCTACTAATGTTTTCTAGTCTGATACAGTATTTCTATCTTTTTTGTTTTTGTTTGAACTGTTCCAAAATGAAAATGAAGCTGCAGGCTCAATTTACTTAAAATGGATCTCATATATAACTTAGTTCCCTTTTCCAGCCTCTCTTGTTATTTTTAATATTTTATTTGCCTGTTTAGATAT